AGGGGCTAGGGAAGGGTAAGTGGAAGGAGGTGAGGGAGGAATGGGGCACGAGCCCCCGATGGGGAGGACTGGGCTAGCTCTGCGGGCTTCTGGGGGTGGAATCTCTCCTGCAGCCCCCCAATTGCCCCCTCTCCCCAGATGGCAGCCTGTGGCAAGTGCAGCCGGGCTGATGGCCGAGTGCTGTGATGTGCCCAGTGTGGGTACTTTGGGCAATCCAAGCCAGGACTGCTTTGCAAGCGGGGCACCCCTGAGAACTGTCTGTCCAGGGTGGGGTTTGGGACCCTTTAAGCACAGCCCTCGGCTAGCCTGAGACAGCATCTCCACGCTCTAAGTCCTCCTCTGATGCCCTGCCGGCACTGCTTCCGGCCATCCTTAAGCCTGGTTCAGGGTCCACTCAATGTGGACATGCTAGTTCAAATTAGCAAAACGCTAATTTGAACTAGTTTTTTAGTCTGGATCCGTTAGTTCGAATTAGCTTAGTTCAAATTAACTAATTCGAACTAAGTTAGTTCGAATTAACATTGTAGTGTAGACGTACCCTTTGTTCTTTTGTTAACAGTGTTCTTCAGTTTATATAGCTCTTCATCATTTACCTCCCAAATGTATTTAAAGAAAGCAATTATGTCTCCTCTTAGCCACCTTCTGTTTTGGAAAGATAGAGACTAAAAGAGACTAAAGGAGCCTATCAATGTGATTTTTAATATATATATTTTAATAGACAAGTATGAGAAAATAAAAAAAAAAAACCTGTGTTCCTATTCTGTAGCTACAGTAGGAGCAGACTTTTGGATGGGCTCCAGACCAAGATCATCCAACACACTTGGGACCACTCCTTCTTTCCTGTCACTTTTTTCTGTGCACTTACCCTGCCAGCTGAGACTTCTATTTTAGTTTTACTGGTACTGGGAGCATCCTCTTGCAGAGCCTGAGGAAGAGCATGCATGTGAGGTCCCCCTAGAAAAGTGTGTTAGCATCATGAAAATGATCATCAATAAAACAGTGAAAGAAAGTGCTTTCAAATGCACAAAGTTAACAAGCTGAAATGAGAGAAAAATGCTTTCTCTTATCCCTTTCTGTTCTAGATGTAAAATATATTACTTGTGATAGTATTAGGCACAAAATGTTCCACTGATTATTTGCTTTCCAAGTTGACAGCTTCCCTTTAATACAAGATTCCATCAGCATATCTGTAATTAAATGATCTATGAGTAGTTGAATTATAAAAACATATATTTGTACTGTAAATTGACATACCACATCCTAGCTGCTTCTTGTTTTCTTTTAACTCAAAATTAGAAAAATAATATTAATTTGGTCAATTTAAACTTATGCTATGGAAAAAAAAGTTATAGTTCTAAACTGCTTTGTTGCACTAGAAACTTAAAATATATCTTTACTATTTATGTGATTTTTTTTGGCTCAGCTCATAATTGAGGTTGATATGGTTAGGTATTAAAGGAAAAAAATCAAAGTTCGTTATTCAAGAAACAAAATGTGTTGGTACAATGTGTTTGTTATTCAAGAAACCATTTCAATGATGATTGGTATGGGTGGTACAACAAAGAAAAAGTTGTTTTGAGGCAGCCGTGATTCAATCTGACATTTAAATAGATGAGAGAATATTTTTAATATTTTAAAAATCATTAATAATTATGCAAAATTTTCAGATAATGAAACAAATTCCATTAATATCAGTGAAATTAAACAAGGGATTAATTTCATGGACTTTGGGTCAAACTCTGACCTTATTAAAATCTGTGGCAAAACTTCCATTGACTTTGATGGAGCCAAGTTTATACTCTATGACTAATCCCACTAAGATATGGCACTATAGCCTAATGCTTAAAGTTAAATAGATGCATATATATTTCCAGGAAACAAGTCTTTTAAAGCAATTACTAATGGAAA